CAACGTCACGCTTGGTTATACTATAGTTATACTCTTTTGGGATACAATTTATTTAAGAATATCTGAATACACTCTAGGGAACATAAACCATTACAATAAATGAATACGGTACTATCTATAAAGGTAAGCACCACTTTCAATAGGTAGTCAAAAGGGAGTCCAAAATGTTGTAGCGATACCATTCACAGCTTTAGTTAACTGAAATTGTAAGTATATAAACATGGTCGGCAATGCATCTCTAACACTCCTTATGTTGCAGATGTCCATAAGCGACGGTAAATTTTTATAATCAGGTAGATAACTGTGCTATAAAACAATTTAAAAGTATTGGAATATAACAATCATAAAACATGTGACAACAGCCAATGTTGATAAAACAATTGGAACTTATAAGGAGCGGTTTCTACGTCTAAGGAATATTTTACTTGGCTTACCTTCGATAGACATCAGGAGGTTTCCGCACCTTTATATACAACAAAACATATAAAAATATTATTAAATACTAGCTGTTACACGCGACGCCGTCTGTGTAAAAAAATGATGAAAAAACTATTAAGCGTCTCATCTTCCACCCGTCATGATAATTTCGGGTTCGCGATAAAAAGTAGCCTTAGATATTCATTATTACATCAGCTACCTATCAATAAAAATCCCATCAAAATCGTTCCAGTCATTTCAGAGCTTGGCTGCAACAAACAGACAGACTTACAAAAATTGTAAGAACTATTATTTTGGTGTATGTATATTTATATTCATATGCGTGTAGTAGAAAATAGTTATTGCTTTATTACAATAGACACTCCTATTTTATTTTTCATAAAATTGTAATTATTTGACTACAATTGAACGCCTTAAGCATTATTATAGCAAACGTTCTATCTAAAATGATGATATTCTTAATCTTCTGGATTCATATTGACAAAACATGGCTAAGAACTATGTATTACAAGGAAACAGGCCAAAAAATCGCCTCAGTCTACCGATTCGTTTGGAGAGTTATGATGCCAACAAACATACACACACTTCATGTACATACAACAAACACGTGACAAATCCAAACACACACATACACATTTACACACACACACAAACACAATTATAATTATAAATGTGCTCATTAGTTTTTTCAATACTTTGTAATTTACTTTATTCCATTTTTCTTTATTCTTTTCATACATATGTTTATCATTAGAGAACTAATGTTTGGTGGTTGTAAAAGGCTTTAGACTGTTTACTAACATGCTGGAGGCGTTGTGTTCTCAATAGAGAACAGTTTTTCAACTAGTTCAGTGAAAATCAAACCTTTTCCATTAACGTTACAAAAAATTTTGAATGTCCTCTCAGTATATTGTGAGTTGTGAAAAAAGTATTAACTTATATATTGTTTCATACGATAATTGGTAATTGTAACAGGATATAAAAAGATTGTTTAGCGTGCACTGTAAAGATTATTCCTAGAGAAGATATATGAGCGTATAGGGATATTAATGAACTAGCATAATAGCTTCTTGTTCATTTAATTTAAGCTGAATGACACAAACCGATTGTGAGCAATATAGAACAGTACACTTAATTACAAAAATGGTCACATGAATTTAATACGAAAGTATGAAAAATACGCGAGGCGTTCAATGTTTAATTTATTCATACGTATTCACAGCAGTCGTGGCCGAGCGGTTAAGGCGTCTGACTAGAAATCAGATTCCCTCTGGGAGCGTAGGTTCGAATCCTACCGACTGCGAAAACAATTATATTATTTTTAGCACAAATTAATAGTGGCCGTTTTGAATTAATTGATATAAAATAACCTTAGAAGTGACGTAATTGGTGATTATGCAATAGATAAATCACAATATGTTCTGTTTACTGCATTTTTTTTTCTTATTAAAAGGGTTTTAACCCCCAATAAAAAGTGGCCTATTAAAAGTTTGTCCTTGATGTGTGTGTGTCTATTTCTGTTTCATCGTAGCTCCTGTTTGAAAGCCTGTTTCTTTGTGGAGGTTCTAAGATATGTAAATATCGCTTACTCAGTATATTATTATTTAGAAAATGATGTTATCATTTTTGGGACATGACTTCTAGCTTAAGTGCTTCCCCTTTGCCAGAGTAATCGTGAAATAACATTGAACGCATTTAGGATTCAAATATAATTAAGAAATAGAAGTAACATTAATTTATAAATAGAAATGAATTTATATTTAATAATTCTTGAATCAGCAAGGTACTGTTTTTATGGCCGTTAATTTGAAATATCCATTTTTTATTACCTGGCATTATCGGTAGAGGACGTTTCAAAAGGAAATACATCTCATTTCTAATTGTTGATTGGATTTCAGTAGTTATAAATAAAGGTTGTAGTTCTCACTCATTAAAATAATTACTATTCAAGATAGGATTGATTTTGAGGGTGTAAATTTGATTTCTCTACTATGCTTACTCTAAGTCGAATAATATTTGCCCTTTTGAAGACATTATCAGGTGATTTTAATAATGTATAGACGGGGATAGTACAAAGAGATTACAAATTCATTTAGGGCTAAAAAATAACAATAAACAACTTTATAAATACAATTAATATAATTCGGAATCCACAACCGCGCCTATATATCCTTACCCTTGATTAAAAAACGAGCAATCTTTTCGTTTGTAGGGTAGTGATGTCGATTTGAACTAATCGTTTTAGTTCGACCGAAGATGCGAAGGTAGAAAACTACTACTATTACTACTAGCGATTCCTTTAAAAGAGGAAATTGTAGTTAAATTTAAGTGATTTAATGTAGTCGTATCTCTCGTACTATAGCGAATAAAAATAATACCCAAAAATGTAATATGTATAAAAACGAAACCTAAACACTAGATGAATGAACTATGAACTATAGACATTAAAAAAATGTCTCTGAAGCGTAAATGATACTGATAAACCGGTAAATTGAATAAACATCGAAATACATGGATATTTAAACTTGTAGAAAGATGTAATGTATTGAACAGTTTTTCTACAAACAAATTGTTTGGTAATTTGTAAACGAATACGTTAAAACTTAAAACTCAAGCCAACTAAAGATAATTATGTACTGTCAGCACACATATGTATTCTGCCCACTCAATTGATTCAGTAGCATTATGAAGTATTCAATTTATACACAATTTTACTAAGTATTAATTTGTAATGGAAAATCTAACCTAATATTCACTTCTATTTCGAATTCTGCGAATGATAGTAACTCAGTTTCGAGTGTTCGAACAGCAAAATTCTGAATTTAGTCTTTGAAAAACAAAAGTTTTTTAAACTCTGATCTAATTATCATGGTATTCGAGACTAGGGGTAAAAAAATGGAAAACATGACTCCAGTAAAAATAAACGGAGCACCATTAAAGCGAGTCACAACATTAAAAAATCTCGGTCATGTCCTAACTCCTAGTCTCAGTGATGACTCTGATATTGGACGAGAGCGTAGGGCCCGGGCGTTGCCGACAAGGGCGAATATGCTGGTTCGCAAGTTTGCTCTGTGCTCACTGAACGTGAAAATCGCTCTCTTTCGAGCCTGTTGCACCACCTTTTACACGTGCGGCTTGTGGGCCAAATATACGCAGAAGTTGTACAACGCTCTTGGGGTTCAATACAACAACGTGTTCCGTTTGGTGGGTGCCTCATTACTGCAGCGCATCAGGGATGTTCATTGACGCTAACGTCAATTGTTTCTTTACGACTATGCGAAAGAGATGAACGTCTTTGGTGTGCAGGGTGCGGAGTAGTCCCAATAACATTTTAAGCTTGATTGCTGATCTGTTGGATTGTATATACGTGAATCGCTGCGGGGCCATATCTCACGGAATGGTACAGCGGTGAGTCGCGTATGTGCGGCTCAGTCGACTATGTAATTAGCAAATTAATTTATTATTATACTATCGTCAGAAAATTTATGTATTATTTTTATTAACAATTAATGTATTATTTTATTAACAATTTATGTATTTTTTTTATTGAGTCACTGTTACTTGAACAAATGAAAGAAATAATAATAGTAATAATCGATAAAATTTTATGATTTAATAACATAGGTACATAAGGCTTGTTTACAGTGAGTTGTTTATATCGACATACTTGCCTACGAATCTTGCAAATTAAATACAATGTAGCAATATTGTTGTTGAGACCTTTAAGATTTAACATGTGCTTGATTTAATTTGAATGGCATTTAGAGTTGTTTTTTGAGCAACAAAGGGAAACTTATCTTAGATAAAAAAAAATATGCCAAAGGGTTCAACCAAGCAGATTTCAACCGGCTTACCTGATGGTGATAGTACCATCGCCCATTGACATCCGTAACATAAAAGATGTCCGAATCTGTCACCACCCTTGTTTAGGGAAGAGGGGGAGGAAAAAATCGGAAATGAAGGGAAAAAGGAAATAGAAAAGCAACCGGCTCCCTCACTCATCGAACAAAACGCAGCCATTAAAGGCTACTTCACTTCTGTGAGAGGGTGGTACTTCCCTGGTCGAGACAGCCCATGTTCGTGCGACAGTAACTTTACCACAGCTAGGCTCTACACCTACAAAAAAATATGAAAAAGGCATATTATATAGGTATATAAAGGAGTTTGAATTAGTCCAATGACGTAGAAAATATACGAAGCATTAATTTTATGCCATTATATTATAATAACCAACAGAAGCAAACATAAAATATTCAAAAGATATATTAATTACAAATGTACTTAAATTTAATGAATATTTTTGGTTGACGAAGCTTATAAGATAAGATATTATTGATATCTTATCTTTTAAGCTTCGTCAATAGTTTTATATTAAACGATATATTATTTTGTATATGAAAATTTATTATTAAAAAAATAATACAAAAGAATTTTTCTGTCCACGGTTTAATATGACTTGTTTTTATTATTACAGAATTGCTGTTTGTGATGGACGTCTAGATACTGATCGAGAAAGTAAAATAAAAGTAAATTAATATTTTATGTGTTTAAAATACCTCAAGATGCCGCCAGAACAGACACTCCGACAGGTAAATAAATATTTTTATATGTATTCACATTAATTATTAAATATCGTGATAACTACATCAAAATGTTTAACATATAATTCCCGCTACTTGTAGAATGAAATAACTATAAAGTTCATATTATGTGTCTAAGTGTTGGGTGTTGAAAGTTTTAATTGTTGACTTTTGTCGGTATGTAAAAATTAACGATATGGGTATACGGAATAAAAAAAAGAACCATAAAAATATTCTAGTAAAAATAAATAATTACACTGGTCAACAAAATTTTGACTTTTTAATGCCACACAGACTTTTATGTTATTTTTTACTTAAATAGGTAATTATAAAACTAAATAAACAGTTAAAAAAAAAATCTGGCCAAGAATTTTTTTCTATTGAATAATTAAAAAATTAAGAAAAAACAAGGATCTAGTAAATAAAAAGTTTCTTTTTTCTAAACGACTGAATGTAATCTAAGATTTTCTCGAGTATTTAGCTTCTGGTTAGTCTCTTTTAATTGTCCAGCAATAAGCTGCTAACATTCCTATATAGAATGGGCCCAAATGGGCCCCATTTGCCTTGGTACAGCTTTTCTATATTAGAAATTTTCTGATGGAGTCTCTGACAGCGCTCGTCACTGACAGCCCCTGAATTGTCTGGAAAACATCCAGGTAAGAGACTAAAAAATGTAATTTAAGAGAAATGTTGCGACCCAATCCTTGATATGACAATAGTAGCTCGTTACCCAACTCTCACTACTTAACTAATACTCTCGTATTGTAATATGTATTGTATAATGTATTGTATAATGTAGCAAATTCCATTGTTTTAGACGGGATTTTAGTAGTTCTGACTACTTTTTGATAAATTTAAATTCTGAACCAAATCATTTCGGTCTCTTTGAGTTATCTAATGTGGCTTGTTTACAATTTCTACAAACTCAAAGTCATCAACCTCTTCAACACATTAGCCTGAAGTTGACGGTTGTGAATGGTCGCTCTCAACAGATGAATTTATAACTGGTATTTGTTTTTTCATTTTTTTAACAATAAGAGACTGGTCTTATAGCCGAAGATAAGTTGGGGTAAATAACTTTGTTTTTCTATTTGTAATTTATACCTTTTATATCAGTGAGACAAAAATAACAGATCTGAAACATGACCTCGCCGTTCAATCCATATCATGGGTACAGCAAATTGCATAGGGCGTACACCTCTCTTTCAGTCAGTAAAATTTTTCACACATGTTATGTAGCAGAGATGAGGAGCCCAGGATTTGTCTTGATGGGCGACAGAAAAACCAAAATATTGTTGATAACGCTCCAACACAAGATTCGTCAAAATTCGTCATTGTTTTTTAAATGTTAATTCCCCGCAGACGTAACCAAAAGAGTTATAATCATTATTACGCTTCCTCGACATGTTGACAGGATTAATGATTCATAAAAAAAAGTTTAAATTTAACGACAAATATTTTTATAACCATTTACTTGTAAGCGTATCTGTTAATTAACAGCCGCAGTACTATTTATGAGAATTACCGTATCACAACAAATATAAGGCTAACTGACTCATGAAAACTGTGATTTAAGAATGAGGATAGATTGATAAAACAAAATTTCGAATCAAAGTTCATGTGGCAAAACCAGTGTTGACCAGTGTTATTGCTCTCATCTTAACAGTTAAATAATCTGATTTAATGATAACAATAATAATTGTTTTAAAAACTACAGTCTATAACTGCATATACTTGATTTAAGAATTATTAAAATAGTATTTATTGCCTATGTATTGTTTTTATGAAGTACCTATCTTTAAAATTGTACATTTATGTCGCTTATTCAATTTTGCTTCGATTGCTGTTGAAAATAAACTAAAGTATCGATCTATTTAATTAAATATGCTGTTGTTTCCATTTTGCTGACGACTATAATTAATAATCTCATATACTTATGTAGATATTTTGAACGACGTATTCTTATTGAAAAAAAAATACGTTGTAATGTATTACGCGTTATGGTTTTGTTACTTATTGAATAAAACAATAATCAGTCAATCAATTAATTGTAATAAAAACTTACACTATCTTTAGATATTCAGTCCATTTTACTAATAAATATACTTTATTTCATATTGACCTTAATAAAGTTTTAAAGACGTAATAATTTTCTTTATGATAGTACTTTTTAAAAGTCATAACTTGTCTATTTCTATGGATTTCTTTTAATTATTAAAAATGTCAGTATAATGCGAAAAATATTTCGTAATACTTCTTCATAATACTTACTATACTATACTATAATTTATTAATTTCTTAAAACCCTTACTGATTTTTTTGAGTAAACTATCACTATAGTACTGCCTTTGATTACTCACAATGTTATTTTAATTAAGAACCACCGAACTTTGTTCGCTCGAGGTTAGAGACGAAACTTCTCAGCATTCCATGGATTCACCGTGCGGGTGCCGGGTCCGTCGCGTTACAGGGAGAGGAACTTCAACAGTGCCCGGGACTTGCGACCCAAGTGTAGGTTTAAGGAGCCCCTTAACTAACGCGCGTTATACGCTCACCTCCACTGTTCAAACTCCTCTCCCTACCTAAACAAATTTGAAAAGAACCTACTAGGGCTGCCTTCGATGTACGTTCCAAGAATGGAAAATGAGTTCTGGACAAGCCCAAGCCTTTTAGTAGGTTGTAGAGAGATTTCGCTGTTATACCTCTCGCTCCCACCTCTACCGCGTACAAATCTACCACGAACTTATTTTAAGTGAGTTCGTTTGTGAGCTCGTAATATTTGTTGACCTTGATGGTATGGTCTTTGGGGATGTTGGTTTCCCAAGGGACCGTAAGCTCTATCATCACTACGCGCTTTAAAATTCGCGAAAACAAAAATATATCCGGTCTGGAGGCCGACGCACAAATACATTTGAGAAGAAATTCTGAAGAATAAGACAGCTTTCGTTTGAACATCTTGTACCAGATTTCTTTTGGAATGTCACTAAATGAAATAGTTATATTTATTGATCAAAATACTACGGACATTGTTTCAACTGATATAAACAAAAAAATAAATTATAACTAATAGCATAATCAATGTTTTCCGATCGTTATTGCTGAAATATATTACAATAAGCCCTTACAACAAGATTGCTCGTACATATGAGTGTTTCCAACTGGATTTTTGCACTCAGAAATCATCGCCCGTGATAGTATAGATTTAGTTTAGGTTTAATAGTACCTAAAACTGGAAATATTTTGTATATAGTGAGACAATGCAATTTTCTTGTAAGGGTACTACTAGTATATATTTTTTTCATTACTACTATTTACAAAAATAACGTTTAAGCCTTTAGAAATATATTGCGAAAAAGCGTTTTTTTTTTATTCACTGCTTAATAAGGTTAAGATGTATGTTATATTTTTATTTTCCATCTGCAGATTCTCATTGGATTCAGTTTGACCATGTGCAGTGTCTCAGACGGGTTGATATTTGGTCAGATGTCTGGTATGATAGATGCTCTGAGTAAAGAAGACAACGATGTACCACTCACACAAGATGATATTTCATGGATAGGTCAGTTTAATCACAATCAAGTATAGCAATATGATTGGTAAATAATTCATATTTAGCGTGTAAGCAGATAATATTGACCTTAGTTTCTTTAAACAAAATATGTTATTCTCAATTCCAGCATTCAAATTACAGCGTAAAAAGCAATGACAAAGATATAGATGTTTTTAAATTACACTTCAATGTGTTTATTCTTTTTTTTAATCTACGAATATAAACTTTAAAGCTTTATTTTCTTTTGCAGCTTCTATAATAAACATCGTGTGTATATGTGGCTATGCAGTTGTTGGAGTACTAAGTCAATGTTTGGGTCGTCGGAAAGCAATAACAGTTATTACTATACCAGTCTGCCTGGCGTGGATTCTAGTATATTTAGCTCACGATAAAGTCACTTTAATCATCACCAGAATAATTCTTGGAATTAGCTTCGGTGGTATCCTATTTTTAATCTACGTTAATGTTGCAGAATATAAGTCTCCGGGCGTCAGAGTTCTTTGTCTTAACTTGATATCTGGCGTTGGTACTCTTATTGGAATAACAGCTGGTCATTTGTTATGTATAATTCTTCATTGGAGGCAAGTAGCATTGATTGCCATCATACCGACGGCTTTATCTGCTTTCTTACCTCTATTTTGGGTTGAAAGCCCCGTGTGGTTGGCTACTAAGGGACGTTTTGTAGAATGTGAAGAGGCATTTTGGAAATTACACGTTTTCTCGGATTCATCTGAAAATGAGCTGAAACTTCTTATAGCCTATGAAAGAAAAAAACAGAGCGAACGTAATAATAGTAATCCCAGCACACTTTTCCTTGGAAAACAATTTTTATTAGCAATGAATACGAAGTGCTTTTGGAGGATATATGAAATAGCTTTAATAATTTATATATATAGAGTTGCAAGTGGCCGTATTCTGTTCAGTACCTTATTAATCACAATGTTGCACGATATTACAGGTACTTCAGACATACTATTTTTCACATTAGTATTAGACGGTTTCGTTATAATAGGTTCATTTTTGTCGTGGTACTTTTTGAATAAATTTAAAATAAGACCACTATTCTTTACTTCTGGTGTTGTCGCTAATGTGTGCTTGATTACATTTGCGTTCTGCCTTTATCTTTATCCTGGTAGCGACTATTATTTGTCATGGATTAAGATATCATTATTGGCTTTATACTTTGTGATACAGGGAGCAGGAATTTATCCGGTATTAGAAGGAGTATTAATAGAGATATATCCAGTGGATTTGAAAACTTGCTATGTTATAGTGGGTGGAATTATTGCTGGTACCTTTCAGTTTTTAAGTATAAAGTTGACACCAAACATAATATCACAAATAGGCTACCACGGTCTTTTCTTTGTGAATGTAGGAATAATATTTTTCTGTATGGCATTTTTATGGTTCTCCTTGCCCGAAACGAAGGGGCGGAGTCTACATGAAATCGAATATTATTTTAAAAATAACACGTTTAATTATAATAAAGAATTTGAAAGTACAGAACAATCTAGCAAGCTGTTGGTTAATAGTAGTTGTGTCGAAAAATAATACTTATCAGTCAGTGCTAATAATTATATGGATAATAAAGAAAAATAACTAATCTGACACTGAAAGGTTGCAACAAAATTTCCATTGTCGATAGCTATTACAAAATAAAAAATAAAATAGTTGGATGAAACGCATTAGAAAAGTAGGGGAATGTTATAAAAATTAAAGGAAAAATTATTTACGGGCGATCTGAGGTTGGGAAGGGTATGGGGGTGGGTATTTAAGGGTAAAAAATGGGTTTTCTAAATTTCCAGCAAAATTAAAAGTCCTACGGAAAAAAGTTATATGGCAAAGTTGTAGGTAATAAAAAGATCTAAAATTTTTGTATGTACATTTTTTTCACATAACCTCAAAATTTATGTGAAAAGTTAAAAAAACCAAGTTTTTTGTTTTTATTTTATCTCTTCCAAAAAATAATATTTTGTCACGAAATTTTGTGAAAACTTACCTTTTGATGTCTCAAATACACTGTAATTTATTTGATTAGAAATATTTGTTTTTTCAGCTTATTTTGAATAAATATCGTAAAATCAGCTTTTCTCAAATATTTGGTATGTGTTCTGTTCGTTAAAATTTCTATTTTCTAATGGTGAAGAAAAAAATATAAGGTTGGCAACGCATCCGTAACCAAGATGTTGCGGATGTCCATGGGTGACGGTAACCACCTTCCATCTAGTTGGCCGTCGGCTCGTTTGCCACTTTTCACATGAAAAAAGGTTTGTAAGGGTGACAACACCCTGTTAATGGAATGTAAAATCATTTTCATAGAAACATTAAAACAGTTTTTGTACTTTACATGTATATTTTATATCCAAGACTAATCAACACATTTTTCAAGTACATGCAGAGCGTTCAATAACAAAAGAAACAAAGAAGGGAGACAATTTAAAACAGGCCTTTTGTGAGTTGAACCATAATTTTTTCGATGACACAGTAAAGTATTGAATGTGAAACATACAAAACCTTTTAGGAAACTTTTACCTACAGATGAGTTTCATAAAGACAATAAATCATTGCTCCAGATAAAGCACCGATCTGTCAACATTCAGTAATAGCTCTGTGACGATCTTTAACCGAAACGGTCTATGTTTTATGTACATATGATTTCTTTGGTATTTTTTGAAAGCCTTTCAACACGTGTCAACGATTACTGGGTCTATTTTTGGAGATTAATAAATAGTTACACCGTCTGGCACTATTTTTGCAATCAAACGATCCTTTAACTCAGCTGTTTGGATTTTTGACACAAACCGATTAGATACAGGAAATTTGTAACTGCTATGTAATATAAAAACTAAAAAGCTACTATACAATAATCGAAGGCACTGATAGATTCTCATTTTTGTTTCCATTAGACTTAGGTAAACAATAATCTATACAAAAAAAAAACACAATTAAAATACATATTCCTTGACTTCAAACCTAAGTTGCACTTTATCAGATGATTTGTAAAGAACTGACAGTTGTCGATATAAAAGGGCATGAAAACTTTGTTTTTATTCATGTACAAAGATTTTTAATGACTGGCGGGAACACTCTATAAGTAGTGTGACTATGCAAAGCAAGTAATATAATTTTATTTAAGTTTTTCATAAATCTTAAACTTAACAAACATTAAGTTCATACTTGTGTTTGAAATTACGTTATTACTTTAAAAGTAGTTGTGCCCTTCCACTACAAGAAAAAGACTTGAGTTTTTCGACGAACGGTCATTTCCCCAGCTTTTTTGTTCCTTCTAACCTGAAAATCAATAGCTAGTGGCCCCTCAGGCCTAAAGCAATGTTTGTAAGATTTATTTTGAACATCAACTCACGTTATAATCTAATGGAATATTACTGCGAAATGGTTTGTATAGCCTAGGATAATAAGCTTATTGAACGCATTTTAAAACCTCTATTGTATGCCTTTCATCAGAATCCTATTTTACAATGAATTTGACATGCCTTAAAGCATAAAATTTTAAGTAAATTTTCCTTGTATAAGAAAATCAGACAGAACAACACCATAGAATTACAATTTAAACAAGTATGGGTCACAAAAGTCAAAACATAATATACTTTTAAGATAGCTTTTGTTGTATTGTTTATTTCCTATATATTCATTTGATGAATTATATTTGTATAATATTAGAACATAGTATATAAAGTGCAGGGAGTTAAATATATATAATTAAAAGATGTAAATAATTCGATTCTTCGATGAAAGAAAATATCTCCTCGAACTTACAAATGATACTGTCATATGGTAATAGATTCACAAACAAAAAAGCACAAAATTATAATTTTCCTAATTAGGAAGTGAAACTTATAAAATTCAATATTTCATAATATTATCGCTAACAATTTATATGCATTGTAATTTACTTAAAAATATACATTTTTTGGGCCAGAGATAGGACAATTATCAATCAATTAATTATGTCATTACCATAATGTATAAAAATAAGTATGCAATAAAGTAAAAGAGGGTTTAATAGATAATAGAGCCTAGCTGTGGTCAAATTACTGCAGCTCGAACATGTGCTCTCTCGGCCGGGAAAGTACCACCATGTCACAGAAGATCGGCGTGAAGTAGTTTTTAAAGGCCGCGTTTTTCCGATGAATGAGAGACCCATTTGCCCTTCTCTTTTTCCCACCCTTTCTTCACCCTTTTCCTAGAATAAGGGTTGCAAGGCATTCTCAAATTCTTTTGCAGATGTCCATAGGCGACGGTACTACCTCCATCAGGTAGGCCATGTGCCCGTTCATCTCCTTTGTCATAAAAAAGAAGGTTACGTAAATACTCAATAAAATGTAAATGATGTATTGAGTTGCATAGCGTAAAAAAATATTAATCCTTGAAGTCTTTGTTATTTAAATAATAATCATAGAAATAACAAAACGTCCACAATTAGATTTGGGTATCCCTGAACGTATTATCAAAGAGGCTTATGTTTACTTTGACATTAACTGTAACATGTTATTACAATAATAACGAATACATTAGCTTTATTTAAAATTCTATTTTTCTAAAGTAGATTATGCAATGATAAAAAGTAAAAGGTCAAATTGAAATATGTTAATAATTATTAATAATTTGGGTTCAATAAGCATATTGTTTTCTTAGCATTCATTTATTTGAGGAGGCACGTGCTTATGCAGTTGGCATTCAGTTTTTTGCGGTACTTGTGTATTCCGGTTATGTCTAGGATTTAACGGGTAGATCTTGGAACACCTTACACTGGTCAGGCAAATGCTATATCTAGGGTCAGCTGATGTGAGTTATTTTACGTATTGGCCAAATATTTTATCGTACTTCTCGGCAGACCTTAAAGCGACATCTAATACAAAGGTGAAATGAATGCATGTACAGTTTATTTTAAATCTTCAAGTCCTCGAGTGAGGACATGAAGATTATATATATTTTTTTTGTAATAATAATATATTATCTCCTCTTGTTAGCGTCGATGGCAGCCAAAATCTCCTGAGCTTTAGTATCTAACCGTATTTTAATTATAACTTAGTTGCATTATTAAAAAAAATATATTTAGTAATCGTTTTGAAGAATTTAAAAAAGTATCGAAATTAATTGTGCTTGTATACTTCATACATATTTCAACTGATTCAAACAAGTCTTAAGTCCACTATGCGTTGTACAAAGTTGTATCGTCACACTACACGTGAATTCTCATTCAATAACATACGTTAATAATTAACAGTATAATGAGCGAAAATTTATGAACGGAAAACTGTTAAAGCTCCGTATGCAGCGAGACGATAGGAGCATGGGGTAAGAGTATAATAAAACGGTCATTAAGTAATCGTTATAGAATTAGACTGTCTATTTTCTAGACACCTTGAACTTTTAATAAATTTTCAACAGTATACTAGTACAGTTTTTGTGGAACTATGACTGTTGCATATATGTACCTTACGATTTATCCTTTTCTTTTTCATTTTAAACGAAGTTTTGGTAACTACGGTTACACAGATATTCTATTTTTTTCCCTGTTATAGAATTCTTGATATAAATTAATATAATTGTTAGGAATATGAAAAAATGTTGCTCAAATTTTTCAAGAGATGGCTCTTTTAAAAAGATATGTGAATTCTCTCCTCATTACATACAAAAGATGAAAGTCAATAAGTCATTGTAGTATTAGTAGTACTTTTTACCTTACCTCTGAACTAGTTTAAAATAAAGCATCTAATTTCCGAATACGTTTTTCGTACTTATTGTAAATTTTGAAATTGTGGTGAATTTTATAACGTTAAAAGTTTTTGAACGCTGAATATGAACAGCCAATAGCTTTATTCTGACCAGAGCAAATTACATTAAATGTCAAACAACATTGTGTTTGTTTCAATCGTATTGACATCCTCGTTTATTAGTGTTTAGAAGTATTTTTCGAAATATATATATTGGTTTAAATGAAATTTCAAGAAGTTACCATATTTTAGTTATACAGTAAAAATATAATAAGTATGAAGAAGTTACGATACTGTGAAATTACTTACAATTGTAAAGTGAGTTATACCTGTATGTGACGGGCAATGATATTAAAGATAAGATGAAGCTGATATTTCTAGTGTTCTTTTTTTATATGAGTATCTCTAAATCAACAAGAGCTTCGAATGAAACCTGCACAGAGGCCAACTCACGATGTGATTACAAGTCGAATGTACGGATGTTAGCAGATACTTTGGCCAGCAAGTTCAATGATATTGTTATTAAGGAACTCGGCAGTGAATATACATCGCACTTAGAGATACGAACAGCCCATAAAATAAGCCGATATCACACTACAGACATCAGTACTTTATCAAATATTGTAGATAAATTGGATTACAAACTATCCTCAGCAATTAATATACTAAAAGAAATGAATAATGTTTTGGACAAAAATGATACTCCGTCCTTCACACACCCATGTCCATTTAATTCGATACGAAAATCAGTCTTCATTAAGAGAAATGGTTTTCATGAATTGCCTTCCATAACAATGAAAACAAATATGCTGGGGCGTTTCAAAGACTTAAAAGTTAAAAGGCAATATTATTTATCCCATTTAGACTATGCAACGGACAAAGATTGTGTGACTATGCCACATTCAAACTTAAGATACCTATACCATAAAATTGTGCATCCAAAACCAAAATTATTTGTCTTCATTATTGATAATAACATGAAATTTGAATTACTCCAACATGCAATTGGTATTGTAAAAGAAATTACTTATTCTCTACAACATACTGATCTCATTGCATTAAAAATCACAAATATGACCAATTTTATGAAATTTGAAGACACATGTAGCAGCGATGGTATGTCAAACTTAGGAAACGCAACAGACAACAACAAAATGCTTTTCCGAGAGTACTTAAATACATTAGAAGTGGCTACTACTAATGTACCACCATCAACAATCAACAAAGAAATTAAAAGTTTACTTACAGAAAAGAAACTACCCCTTCAAAAACTTTTCATCTTATTAACTGATTCCAAAATTATGAACAATGATGCCTGGCTAAAACTATTTCCTGTCGCTGAAAAGAATGAGCTTACGAAATACTCCATTGGCTTGATACAAGAGAATTCCGAGAGAAATTCCTCCCTGAAGATATTACATTTTGAGAAATTGCATAACCATTCCAATCACTCTATGGTAAAACTGCATATTAACAGTGGTGATGTCGTAGGACAAGTTGCTTCGGCATTCATTTCTCTCCTGCCAAATGATTATAAAGAGGAACTTAAAGCTGAAGGGCCGTTATGGGAAGCCACCGAAAGAGACTTCATGATATCTTTAGTCTATCCCAAAGCGAGTGGTATACTAGGATTGGATCTACACTGGTCAGATCTGGCTGAAGATATTATATATTTTAAAGGATCAAATGAACACAAGAGAGCCTTTGTTATAGATTTTTCCGGCACAGTTATCATGCACACATATTTCCCTCGACCCGAGTCAACTACGGACAAAATTAAATTTACTAACCTGGAAACAATTGAAGCACACAGTTTCATGGATGTTGTTAAAAAAGAATTGCTATCGCGAGTTACTGGAAACTACACAGTGGAAATAAAAAATTCCTCTAGATCAATAACATATTCTTGGAAATGGGTGCAAGATTTATATATAGTTTGTATAGTGCACGAAGTCCACAGTAACTCAACATTGTTAAATAAAAGTAATATATTTTTTACTAAGACAAGCAAAGAAATATTGTTTCACAGACTGGATTTGTTTCCTCCGAAAACTGGTAAAATCTGCCGTCACTTTAAACAGATAGCAACTATAGATCAAGGTACTGTTTATTTGAGCCCATCCAGTTTCGAGTCTCCATTTACATACTTATACGATATGGGTGATGGCCAGGAAGCAGTTTCATATATGCAAAATTACTTAGCCTATTTACGAAGTGTGGCTCATGGTCTTCTATCCAACCCAGGCTTGAAAAACGAGATACAGCAAGATGTAGGTTTTCTTAATTCTATACTATCGTTCTATAAACGTCAACATTTACATGGGCCGTATTCTAAGTATATAGTTAGAAGATATGCTGTCACTGAAACGGGGTACGGGGTACTAGTGATGTTTCCAGGCACCGTTTTGGAATATGATTATGAACCGGTCAGAAGGCCTTGGTATATTTTTGCTCTGAATAATCCCGGTACTATTATTCTCACACCGCCGAATCTAGATGTAGGAGGAGCTGGTTACATTGTAACCATTTCATATGCTGTAAAAAGCCCCATATATCCTACCATGGTTGTCTCTATGGATGTCACCATGGGATTCCTTTATAAATTATTGATAGATAGTTTTTCACAATGTGCCATGTCGAACGTTAAGTGTTTCATAATGAATAATCGAGGTTATTTGATCTCCCATCCCGGGTTAATGGATCCAAATAGTTCCGGACCGATAGAACAACAACACATAACCCACAAGGAATCAATGATAGCCATTGATATGTTAAACCATAAAGGTTTTGTAAAGAAAAGGTTATGTAGCAACTTCTATGATAAAACTATACAAAGGTTTTATGAATTCAATAATTCTTTGACTAATGTTTTGTCGAATATGGTGTCGGCCGATCACTGTGTACATTATTACGTGGCCTCCATTCCTCGAACCAACGCTTTTATAGGCGTCGTCAATGCATCTTGCAGCATTGGGGCTTTCTGTCCATGCAGTATGGTAGACCGTTTGTGTCTAAATTGTAACAGAATGGAACAAACTGAATGCGAGTGTCCCTGCGAATGTAGTTCAGAGTTGTATGATTGTCCTAATACGAATGCAACAAAACTAAATGAAAACATTCCTCTTTGTGGTATGATGCCTGAAAATAATCATCATAAATCACATTTCTTCCACAATTTCGCTGAAAACCTCAAGTCCTGTTTTGATTTTCAATGCGAGACATATCTTTCCCATTCTTCCTGTTTGGGTGTTTTGGGTTGTGAGTGGTGTCAGATAGACGCAGATGGACATTCGCCGTTGGCAACTCCCTTCTGTACTTCCCAATCGACTTGTTTCAATGGGGTCTTGGGCGCAGTCACTCCTTACGGCGAAGGTACCTTCGGCCACATAAGTCGAGATGCCTTTGCCAGTTATTCCGCTATCGGTCCAATAGTTGGTTGCATCGTGACAGTGAGTCTTATTATCGCCGTGGCTATTTATTGCTACCGACAAAACACTACAACTGATAGCTGTCACAATCTATATGTCGATGGTCCTGAAACTTGGCACGACCCAGACGTTCAGATGAGTCATATGCCGACTGATGACCTATTAGATCCTTCTGGTCAGGATAAATTGTTGGAAATAGAGGCACCGATATCTCCATATCGCGTCATCACTGGATATAGACGGCCTCATACCGCTGGTGGCTCTGATCAAGGTTATTCAACCATGACGCCCCACGAAGATTCGGAAGCTACTGGTTTTTCTGTCAACGATCCAACAGTTTTGTCCGATGATACGAAATCCGATGCAAGTTTCCCAGCTCCCGCAAAAATCAAACCAAGAGTCAAAGTTGCTGATCTCACAATGACGATTCTTCCATGTGGCAAAAACAGTGTCTTAGCTCCCGTAACAGTCCACAGACATATGGAAGCTTCTTAATGTAAAATACTACCTCTTTTGTAAATAAACTATGATTACAGTGAAAATATATTAAATTGTGTTGTGATATAATATTATGTTTTTAAAGTCAATATTTGACATTTTTGTTCAAACAAACATTAACCATTGTAACAAAACGCAGTTGTTATTTTTAAATTATTAATAAGAATTTAATTTTAAGTGAACATAAAATGTGTTATTTTTATAAACTCATGTATGTATATCATGTACCAACTATCCGGAGTTACTACCTTTGTGTAAGATTAAAATAGTATTAAACTATTTTTACATTTAACTGCCATATTTGCATAGCAAGCCAATATTCAGTATAATTTTCATGAAGCCTATTATATTTTAGTATTAATATGTATATATTATGCTAGTTTAAGCTACGGTCAACAAATGTATATGATAGGTAGGTATTCGCCCAACTACTTAATCTGTTTCCTTGAATGGTAATTTTGTGATAATTTTACTTCAAAACTCAGTAATTTCTTAATGTGTCAATATAAGTACTTAAATATAATTTTACATAATGAAATCCGTCTGTATCATGTATACTTAAATAACTATAAGTTTACTTTAAGATTGCTATTTTTATATATTGCTCCAGTGCCTCCTGTTAAGTTGTAAGCATATATAATTAAGACTGATTAGTGTTGCATTTATTTAATGTAATAAATTTTTCAAGTAACATTGTGTTTTTATTTAATTGTTTTGTTATACAAATGTGGCTAACTATGACAAGTGATGGTAACAATTTTTTTAATTTGTTTAGACTAAAAACTTCCTCGGTTCCTCTAAGAGTTGTGAATACTTTTGGGTAGAATTTCTTTTTAAAAGTTTTACAAAGATTAAATTTTCGTGTAAAATATTATCCAAGTTCAATTGTTAAAAATTTTTAAAATTATTTCCGATTTTATTTTATTTTTATAGTGCTCCCATGAAAACGAAGTCAAAAACGTTTTAATTAAAGCAAGATTTTTAGATCGCAAAACTGTGATGTTATAAATATAAGTAGATGCTTAAATGCCCATATGTACTGAAATTTATCTCCATTTTATTATTGTATATATTACATTTCTTAAACTCATTTCTTTCAAATTTGGGCTCAGAGATAAATATATAAAGTGTGTTAAATTAATACATATAATAACAAGTTGGCTGAAAATTAGTGGAAGATTTGTCCTTCCAATCAGGAGACAGACATTAATGAAATCCAATATTTACTTACTTATTGCCTCTAAAGCGGAAAAGAGCTCACCCCGTAAACTATATATATATATATATAAGTCTGAAACTGACGCAGACCAAGTAAAGACGAATATGAATTTGTCTCATGACCTTCTCATCAACTGTCAACGCGGTTGTAAATCAAAACACACAACTGCATATGTACATTTATTCATCAAATCGTATATGTGTGTGCGTGGGTTGCGGTGAGGCGGGTGCGAGTGTGTGCGGTGCGGTGCGAGCCAGCACGCGCGTGCGTCCTCGTGTCCTTTTACACGCGCGTGCTGACTCCGCGCGCCGCCATTGCTCTTGCTCGTCGGAACCGCGGAGTACCAATGCGTGTGTATTGTTAGTACAGTACTGAAATAATTAAAACATATATTATATAGTTACGTAACTACAAACTTAAAATTAATTGAACTCTCAATATATTAAATTTTATTAAAAATAAATACTTTTATGTTTCAATGTAATAATCTCAGACGCAATGTTACGTACACGCTACATTTTAAGAAATAATTGAACGTCGCCGGGGCAAAATCTGTGTATGGGTAAAATATCGTATTACGAGTGACGACACTGACTCCGCGGAACCAACACCAAGCCGTGTGAACCAGAAGATTCAACATACTACACAAGCAATGGAATGGCATTGTCATCTTAACATCGGGACAATCATGTAGTTTTAGGTATAGATTATAAGTTTTAATACGTAGTTCTTATTATAATATACATAAGTAAGTTTAGTAGTTTCCCTGGAACCTCCGGTTGCCACCCTACGTAATTGCTATACAGGGTGACTGGTGAATTACTATTGATAATTGAGGACGTGATATTTGACGATCATATATGACAAAATAAAAATTAATATAACATAAATATTAATAAACTTCTAAGTAAAGTTAACCAAAAGTTATGTAATTAATTACGCATCGTGTGAACACCCTACAGATTAGGTATACACACACACTCACACAAACGCGTGCGGCGGCGTGGTGTTGTATCAGCACGCCGCCGCACGCGTCCACACTTGGAACACTTGGAACGTGTCAACACTTTATTTATTTATACGGAAATTTTGTCAAAAATTAAGTACCTATTTTTTTTACATAATTCGAATGAGAATCATGTACCGAGTATTCTCCTAAACTATTGATAGTAATTCACCAGTCACCCTGTATAAATATTATTTAGACGACAATAATGTGTAGTACCGAAAATAATAATGTAAGATAAATATTTTTAAAATTAAATTATTACACAATTTCACTATTATTGCAGGAATGTACGTTACTGAACTAATTTAACAAAGTGTTAAATTATCATTATTTTTCAAACCGTTATATTTACTTACTATTTCAGTATAATATTTGGTTGGTTGTTTTATGAACATATTACTTACCTCATCGGCTGCTTTTGAAGAATCAAAGCGTATTATGACTTCAGACTGTCCCTCTTTCGCTTCAACATGTAGAACATGAATGTTAGTCTTAATCTGAAATGGAGAACATATTTTGTCATATATATTTAATATACAAAAAAAAAAAACATTTATATCAATAAACATTATACAATAATATAATATACATGTAGTCGTAAACAATTTCATTCTTTATTTTAAACTAGCTTTCCGCCCGTAGCTTGGCCCGCGTGGAGTTCGGATATATCGCGTTTCCAAGAGAACCTTTCAATAGTCTGGGTTAAAAACTATCCTATGTTCTTTTTCAAGGTCAACTCCATCTCTGTACTAAATTTCATTAAAATCAGTTCAGTGGTTTAGGCGTGAAGGCGTAACAGACAGACAGACATAGTTACTTTCGCATTTATAATATTAATAGGGATGAATGTGTAATAATAAGTTTATAATCAATATATGTTGTACTTACAGTTCTTTTCAGTAACCTCACATCTAGACAAGGTTCTTTTAGATTCTCCTTAACAAATACTCCTGGTATTTGTTGTAATGGCTCTAAATTCTTGCCGCTTTCTATATCTGGTGTGGTATTTACTGTAAGCAAATTTAAGATGAAATGTTAATGTTTGAATTTGTTATATTAACTTGGTATTGTTAAATAATATGATGTCAAGTATAATGTAGTTAGATTACTTTATTATATTAGATTCTTTCTTTCTACTAAGCATGATACATACATTTATTGAATACTACAGATACAAAGCTATTAGTAAGTTTTTAAGTGTCATTATACATTATTGGTTTTTTAAATATATATATACCTGGTCCTTCGATTGCAGGAGCCGGCGGTAGTATTCCAGGGTAGGTGTGCTTCCTATTCTGCCAATTACTTTTAATTTCCTTCATATATTTCCTTTGTAAATTAAGATATTTATTCCTAAGAGCTTTCCATTCACATTTCGGTAACACTTGCAAACCCCACAAAGCTCCTTTGGACACTTCACCTTTAGCTAGAGCCTTAGATTTGCCCTTTTCTTTAGATGAGCGTTTTTTGACTTTTTTCTTCCTCGGAACTTCGTCGGTCATTTCATCGTGACTTGTCATGTCATCTTTGGATTCTGCATCTGTTGTTTTAGTTTCCTGCAAAAGAAAATCAACCAAAGTATTGATAATAATAAGTTTAAAGAGTATCTACCAAGAGATATATCGTCGGGAATAATATTTCAGCTTAAACTTTCTTCTTATAATCTGCTTCCACTGTAGATACGCGGAATTATCCAATGGTAGTTATAGTCCAAGAGCCCGGGGCCGCCAGACGTTACTTATTTTCTGAGTAACGAAAGGTATCGTACAGAGTAGTGTTAGGGTGTAGTTATGGTAAGTTTTGGATGGTATTGATTGTTTCTTCTTCAAGTTCACTATTACTACTGAATAACTCCAGTTTGCCAAATCTAGTTAATGCTATTTGGTACTCTTAATTTTTTCTAAGAATACTGAATGGCCTTTGTTTACCTTTTTTTAAAAAAAGCAGGATTATAATCACAGCCAGTGATCGCATGAAAGCCTGGTAAACTTTGAGATAAAGACGTTCTTAATTCCTCGTAAATAATGATCTCATGCATACTCGTGACGAGATTTTAAATATGTCTGGGAGATATTTGACCCCTTGAATTTTTCTGGCTGCATAGAAATAGTGTTAAAATAGTTTCTAAAATGTCATATATAAAAATCAAGACTCAGACTTTGAGTAAACTTACGTTATTTTTTTCCAAGCTTTAAAGCGTCTGGCGGAAATTACCGCCGACGAAAACTTTCTGGAACTATTAATTTTAAATTTTTAATACAACTTTTTAAAATATATATAAAAATCAGCTCTCAGAATTAAAGAAAAGTGATCAATATTTTTATGTACCTCTATCACTTGGTACCTATGAATTGGCCGCCGGCCCAAGCTAGCAGGTATGCATACCTTCAGAGTATACCCTAACACTACTCTGTACGATACCTTTCGTTACTCAGAAAATAAGTAACGTCTGGCGGCTCTGGGCTCTTATTCTATTACGCGAATTTGCATCATCCTCAACAATATAATATATTGATAATTACCTCACACGTAGTAGAGATATTTTCCTTAGACTCCTCCTAAAATAAAAAGATACACAAATTATTCTTACATATTTCAATGTTACAATATAAAAGCGAAATGTCTGACATCTTTAACTTATTTAACAATGTTTTCAATATGCATCTATATTGAGATAATCTTTGAATTTACATTTTTGAATAGAATTGTTATCATATAGGAAAATAATTGATATAAAATAGGTAAATCTATACAGGGTGACTGGTGAATTACTATCGATACTTGAGGAAGTGATATTTGACGATCATATATGACAAAATAAAAATTAATATAACATAAATATTAATAAACTTCTAAGTAAAGTTAACCAAAAGTTATGTAATTAATTACGCATCGTGTGAACACCCTACAGATTAGGTATACACACACACACACACATACGCGTGCGGCGGCGTGGTGTTGTATCAGCACGCCGCCGCACGCGTCCACACTTGGAACACTTGGAACGTGTCCGCACTTTATTTATTTATACGGAAATTTGGTCAAAAATTAAGTACCTATTTTTTTTACATAATTCGAATGAGAAACATGTACCAAGTATTCTACTTAAATATTGATAGTAATTCACCAGTCACCCTGTATATCTGTTTAGAAAATGTAACACAGTAAACTGAAATGGATGTTACATTTCTGAACAGAATTAAAAAATATCAAAATAATTTTCTTCCATACCGTTGGTGTATCTAAATTTTTTTCACTATCAGACTCATCCTGTTTGAGGTCTAGGCTTTTAGGTTTCTTTTCTTTGGTCTTTTTAGATTTCTTCTTAGGCGGCTCGTAGTCCTTAACATCTGTGTTATCTGATAATTCCGTTGCAGGTTCTGTGTTGAACATTTTTATAGAAGACAATTCATCTGGCGGCATACATGATGGTAATTTACATCCCATTTTAGTGAATGTGCTGATACAGTTTTGAGCGTCTTGAGGTGATGTGAATTCTATGAATGCAAAACCCTGAAATTAATTTTTAAAAAAATTATTGTGGGTATGATTGGTTTTTATTGACCAGTGCTAGCTGTATAATTTAAAATTCCAAGAATCTATTTTACCTCCATTTTCATATTGAGAGTTTAACAGGTTACAAAACCAACATAAAAAACTTTTTCAATTAATGTCAATTGAAAATCTCATAAATTTACTTTCAGTGGTAATAAGATTTAATGTAAGAATTTTAGTAACATACATATATTTTAAAGATATTAAATAACATATAGAGTATGTATATTAAAAAAAGCACCTTGTTTTTTTGTGAGTTCTTAAACTTTGGCAGTGATATATAAGCAACTTGTCCATAATCGGAGAAAACTCTATCCAGCCAATTAAGACTTGCCGTAACTGGTATTGACTCCACATAGATGGTCCTCTGGTCCGCATCATATGGAAGCATGGGAGTTTTCCTAGCAACCTATAACATCATCATACATTTTATTAACTTTTTTTATTTTGCAATATTCAAATCTTCTTCAAAGTGATGAAAAGAAGTAAGAATATAGTATTTACGTATGAAAAAAGAGTCCTTTACTTTAGTTTTGTCTTCTGATAATTCCAAAAAAGTGGAATGCTTCATAGCCTTCACAATATCACCAACATCCTGAGTCATAGATCGAATCTTATTAAATTTCAAAAACTCTGTTATTGGTACAAAGGGATCGTTTTTAACTAAACCCCCTAAGAATCTATCTTTACTAAGATTAGCATCGCTAAAGTAGAATTCCATTTGTTTCATGATATTCTCATATATCTGCTTTTTTCGATGTCTAACCCGTTTTCGAGGGCTATTATCAAGTTTTGTCTCTTCGATAACTTCGGCACTTTCGGATTCAGACATTTTCTTGATTAAATTGCTTAACTAATATTTTTCACCGCTTCTAATGTGAAACTTCAAAATAAGCAAATAACAGTCAAATTCTGACTAGGTAGTGATTGTAGTGACACTTGAACATTTGACGTTTGGATGAAGATTATGATAAAACAAAAAAGTAATTGTTATCTAATTTTTATGTAAAATAAATAAGTTATCATTGTCGATATTTTACTGTTTGATTATCTGATAAATGATTTCAATTAAAATATCTATTTATTTTTAATTTGTTGTGGTTCTTGATTTATGATCTTTCTCTCATTTGTCAATAATATGTTTAGACGCCCCAACCAATGGTTGTCATATTTTTGCAATAATATTTATTTTACGTTTAAAATAAAAATTGAATAAAACTTTTTTTTTTCAATTGTTAAATAGAATCTTATTTGTATGTTTAAATTTGTTATGTGAAATAAAATGACTGACCGGACAATAGCAGTAAGTATACAAGTGTAATAATTTCTCGAAAGTTATCAAGATGAAACTCGACAAAAAATCCTTAACAATCGAATAGTGTATATTACTTTCATTTAATTTTTAAATATGAAATGGACCTATACTTGATGTGAATCCTTCTATAAGAGTGTGTTTTATATTAATATTTATGTTATTACAGTTTTGTGAAAGAGGTATTTTATACATTAATATAATGTATAATAACAATACATAAACATTCGGTGTATATTTTTAAAAAAATTACGAAGTTTTAATAATTTTTATCTGACTCCCTAGCATTATATCAGAAATATTTACGAAAATACATTATATAAGTTTCACTGAGAGAGTTGTTTTTCTATTTTTGTTAACTTACTTCTTTATTTGTCTTGGGAGTCCATTTCAAACTTGCACTTTAGTTGGTAAAAAAAATTATAAATGGAGAAAATAATTATTACAATGCTTTCCAATTTGAATTTAAAATACTAAATGTGATCTTAACTTTCTATTTTGCAGTCTGTAATTGAAAACAGATTTCTAAAAATTTGTCTTGTACATTCAGTTCATTGCTTATTCCAGTCCCGTCCAAGTTTGGAGCAGGTGGTTGCTATAATTGATTTCATGGAGAACCATCCAGCCTTGGGTCTCGGTCAGCTCAAGGGACTCGAAGGACGCAGTCAAAGCAAGAAATTATGGTTCAAATTAACCAGAATTGTTAATACTATGAATGGACCAACTAGACCCATGAAATCTTGGGTTAAGGTACATAGTGTCATTGTAGAGTACACATTTGCAGTAATAAATACTTAAAATTATTATATAAGCTTAAATTGATTAATGAGTGATTTTTCGGAGTCATATGTACTTTCTAAGAGTATTTAGACACCACTGACATACAGTGAAGGAAAACATAGTGAGGAAACCTGGATTTATAGTTTCACAATTATAAGTTTGAAATCACCAACCCGTCTTGAGCAAGCATGGTGATTAATGCTCAGACCTTCTCCATGTAAGAAAGAGGCCTTTGCCCAGCTGTGGGCTCTGATAGGCTGATGACGCCGACGACGACTTAAATTTAGAGATATTTAAAGCCTACTATTGCTTAAAAAATATATTTTACTGTAGCAAAATGAAGAAAAATAGTAATTATTATTAATAATTGTTTATTTTATATCAATTTCAGTACTGGGCAGATAAAAAATCTACTGTAAGAGCCAAAGTACTTTCTAGTGGCGGTGATCCAAATCATCTGACGTCTAACATAGAAAAAAGGATATGGGATTTGTTTCTCTCGAAGGATGAAAACAGTAAGTTAAATGGACTGCATAAAAAAATAATTTGGTAGTTCATCAAAAATATAAATTTTATTTCTTTAAATTTATGATAGCCAAAAAGTGTTGCGAACAACAAAAAGTTATGATATCACCTTTTTATTTTAGAAGCTCGAAGTTCAGTGAAATTGGAGTCACAATATGTGGATGGAACCGAGTATGATGATGAAGTGGAAGATAATAATGACCATGACACATCAATGAGCTTTGAAGAGCCCATCGATTTTGAAGAACGACAAATGGTTGTTCTTGAAAAATTGGTACAGAAATTTTTATTGAAAGTACTAAATTTTGCGTGATTCTACTAAAGTAGATTATTAGCTTACTATTATAAATAATAATATTATAAAAGTAATTGCAAGTGCTTGTGAGGATTTGTTTATGAAGAGATATTTGTGTTTCTTCAATGTAAAACATACTAAACGGATTTTAATGAAATTTACAGTAATATAGTATAGATATTATGATAAGACTATAATTTATATCCGAAATTATGTTCATTTAAAGGTTTTAAACGTGTATTCACTATTGTGTATGAAAATTCTTGATATAGATTATAGATGTCGCTGCTCGTCATTTACGATATTTATTGTTAAGTCAACGCGGATTAAGTCACTGGCAAAACTAGCTGTTTCAGTAATATTCATATTAAAGACAAGGATACAATTTTGTCCTAAAAAGGAGATAAGATTGGACATAATTGCAAATAATAGGTCAGAATAATTGATAGCATAGTAATGACAATGTTAGGTACAAAATTATCAAGTCTCACCAAATACGATAAAGCTTAGAAAATTGATAATTTAATACATAACGAAACAAAAAACAAATAGAAAAAACAAAATCAAATAGAATGTGTAAAAAACAATTTATAAAATAATACTTATTGATTATTGTTTGTTTGTTTGTTTATTATTAAAAGATTTCATGACCACAGGTGAAAGTTATGAGTTCACAAGCGGAAGCATTAAACCAAGCATCGCAAGCGGCGGTTGCTCACGCGCAAGCTATGGAAAAACTTGCTGAAGCTTCTGACATACAGGTATATATGTATATATTGCAATCAATTTATTTACAATAATGTATAGACTCCCTAGTCTATACACTATATGCAGTAATGAACTGATTACTGATTATGATTTACTTATTCCGAATAATATACATAATCTATGAAGATTTAAAAGAAAGGAGAAGTCACTATGTGACATTCATTTAACATAGGTCCAAATTACAAAGAATTCTAAAAGGAAAATTATTCAGAAGCAATGTATGTATAATAAAGTGGTACTATTAAAACAAATTTGTTTCGTCGTATGTCTATGGAAAACCTATATTTTTTTTTCAACGAAATAACTTCATTCACGATACGTTTTTCTCTCGCCTGGGTTATTATTTCTAATTCCGTGTCTACAGTGTTGAGGATATTAACTTTACCACCACCTACGATCCGCTGTAATGTGACATGCGATAGGCGCACAGAAAATTTTAATTCTCATAATATTCGTACTTTCACTTTTATTATAGACTAGCTTTCCGCCCGCGGCTTTGCCCACATCGAGTTCGGTTATATCGCGTTTCCAAGAGAACTTTTCAAAAGTCTGGGGTAAAAACTATCCTGTTTTTTCTCAAGGTCAACTCTATCTCTGTACCAAATTTCATTGAAATCAGTTCAGTGGTTAAGGCGTGAAACCGTAACAAACAGACAGAGTTACTTTCGCATTTATAACATTAATAGGGAAAGTACATAGGGATTATACTAGAAACACTTATTGTGTTAGTCGATTTGAATGTTCTTTCTATGAATTTCATTAATTAAAAGTAATAACCTTATGTTTTAACGTTTTTTTCAGGCAAGAGCAATAGATCGTCTAGCAAATACATTTACTACTATGTCAGGTGTGACGCACGAGGTTAGAGATGCGATTGTTGACATTGACGCATCCTTAAAGAGGTTATACACAGCGCCCACTTAGCATTAATTGATATAGATCATTATAAGGAAATGTATGTATATAAAGGTGCATTTACGGATCCCAAATTTTTTTACGTCACAAATGACATAAAAATTATGATTTAGTGTCACTTTTGACGTGGGATCATGCTGATGAGATTTTTTGTGTAAATGGTATGGATTTGTAAATATGAAGTAGAATGTGTATGATATAAATGGGAGTTTCATCTGTTTATTATAGAGAGTGAAGTGCCATTTTTAAAGACAAATGTGTGTCAAAAACGACTATAATTTATAATCTTTGTAATAAAAGAGAACTTTTATTTAGAATTAGTTGTAAAATTTTGTAAATAAAGCAATTTTAAGTGATATTTACTTTGAAACATATATTTATTTTAAAATTCACTCCAATATAGTTTTGACACTTATAAATTTTATGAAAACACTTTTATTCGTGTTATTACACTAATAATACTCTAATATTTTTGTGACATCAAAATTATTTATACATACATTAAAAACAAAAAATGTTTGTTTATTTTGGTTTATCTCCATTTTTTCTAGGTGATTATTTTACTGGGAAACAGACATAGTTATTGCTCTAATAACAAAACAAAACTAAATTTTTAAAAAGAATAATGAAAACATTGTATCATGTTGAATCACTTGTCAAGTTCTGATTTCCGCAGAATAATGAACAATTACATCTAAACTCCTCTCTTCTCAACTCTCCCCTCCACAATACATCTAACTCCTTAGTCAATACAACTCCTCTTTATTTTTGTTATTTATTAAGTAAAGTTGATGTACTTTTATTTAAGGAACCAGGTTAATTGGGACTTTTTTTTGGTATTTCATCATAATCCAGAAAAAAATAGTTAGCCAGTTCATAACACTCATTCAAATTAAAAAAAATGTATCTTTATATTATTAAATCGATTAAATAGATTTTATGAAGTCCGAGGATTAGATTAAGTTCTTTTTGTCCTTTTTTTTTGATGACGCAGGGAAACTCTTTTCACGAGCCGTCCAACCGGCCTTGGTGGGGCCGGAAGGGATGTGTGAGGCTCGGCCTGGACAGGCCCTACTCACTAAAACCACAGCGAAAGCCATCGGCCGCTATGTCAGTGTACCCCGGATCTGTCAGCGACGGGGACACCAACGACTGGCCGGTCCTGGCAAAGACCGTACCTACTCCTTTGGAGTATGGAGGCGATCCCTGCAATAGGATCAGCCCGACGACGCCGGGCTTTCATTAGAGCCGGGTTACCACGCTGACCCCAGCCCGGAACACAGGGGTGCTATTGGAGGCGTTGGAATTGCCTCCGTCGCACCCCCGTACGTCGCCTCCGGGGGAGGGTGCATCAGCCGCCCTCTCCCTTTCCCGCTCAGATGCCTCCTTCGTGGACATGACCGTCTCACAGAAGGAGGACACCGCCAGCCAGGGCCAATCACTCTCGAGCATCTTCTCCAAGACACTCGAGAGCGATAAGTCCACTCCGCCGAGAGCCACCAAAAGGTCTTGGCGCTGCGCAGCCTATCTCGGGCACACATCGAGGGTGTGCTGGGCCGAGAAGTTCTTTTTGACCTTAGCTATTATTTCTGCAAAATATTTATTGAACAACTCTTTTTATAACTTATTCAACAATTTGACAAACTTTCAAAACAATTCATATTTCATTTATATATGTATTAGTTAATGAAATAAACATAAAAACAAGTTTGAATTTCAATGCTGTTAAACATTATTATCAATAACGTCGACGTCTTTTTTTTTATAATATTTAATGTTCATAAAAAAAAAACATAAATTAACATCCGCTATATTTATTTTTTTACATATAAAAGACAGATAATAAAAAATTAATCCCAAACAAGCCTACAAGTTTGGCTGAAATGCCCTATTGCTTTTCCACTATCGGTTTTAGTCCAGGAGGATTTCGTTACAAATATTTTGACAAAACAACGAACCGTATAAGGCTGCATCTCATCAAGATTATTTTAGTTACATTGGTAGTAACTCAATTTATTAATATGAATATTTTATTCCCGATAATATAAAAAAAAACTTTTAAGTATTAATTTTTTAACGATTATATATAATCGTTAAATGTCGTTATGTCAAGTCGTTACATAATAAGGCTGTCTTTAAATGTGGTAATAAGATGCCTAATCATGGGCCAAAAATAGAGAGAACTTAGCGCTTTTGTATCTTACAGTTACTAATTCACTGTATATTACAGTACATTGTACAGCGAGTATACTGTTTTATTTTGTGCAAATTCAAATTTTAAGTAGTAGGTCATAAAGCTGTGGTAAAGTTACTGCGGCTCGAACATGGGTTGGCTCGACGGGGGAAGTACCACCCTCTCATAGAAGATCGACGTGAAGTAGCCTTTAATAGCTGCTTTTTTCCCGATGAGTGAGAGAGACGGTTGCCTTTTCGCACTCTTTCCTCTCCCTCTTCCACAATCAAGGTCGGCAATGCATCCGCAACATCCCTTACCTTGCAGTAGTTCATGGGCGACTATGCTAGATTGACGCCTTTGATATAAAAAATAAATAGTCTCCAGATTTAAATGAAACTACGTTTTTGAATTCCTTAATTTTAATAAAATAATTAACGTACCTACTTCAAAATATTTACATTTTTAATGAGACATTTTTAATAAATAAATAGTTTTTTACAAAATTCTATACGTTCTTAGATCTCATTCTATACGTTAAATAAACATAGCTTTTTACTATACTTTTGTGAAAATTTTAGTAGTTTAATGTAAATTGTCTGTAAATTTAATAAAAGAGGGAATTTCTGGAGATCTTCCAGAGTACACAACTATTAAAAATAAATAGAAAGAACATTTTCAAAACGATGTCGAGTGTCATTTCATTGAAAGGGTTATGATTATTTTATCCAAAAATGGTACTGCAAGTAAGAAACTTATATTTTTTTCTTCACCATTAGAAAATAGAAATTTTAACGAACAGAACACATACCAAATATTTGAGAAAAGCTGATTTTACGATATTTATTCAAAATAAGCTGAAAAAATAAATATTTCTAATCAAATAAATTACAGTGTATTTGAAACATCAAAAGGTAAGTTTTCACCAAATTTCGTGACAAAATATTATTTTTTGGAAGAGATAAAAATAAAAACAAAAAACTTGGTTTTTTGAATTTTTCACATAAATTTTGAGGTTATGTGAAAAAAATGTACATACAAAAATTTTAGATCTTTTTATTACCTACAACTTTGCCATATAACTTTTTTCCGTAGGACTTTTAGTTTTGCTGGAAATTTAGAAAACCCATTTTTAGCCTTAAATACCCACCCCCATACCCTTCCCAACCTCAGATCTCCCGTAAATAATTTTTTCTTTAATTTTTATAATATTCCCCTACTTATCTAATGCGTTTCATCCTACTATATTTTTTTATTTTGTAATAGCTAGCGACACTATAATGGAAATTTTGTTGCAACCTTTCAGTGTCAGATTAATTATTTTTCTTTATTATCCATATAATTATTAGCACTTACTGATAAGTATTATTTTTCGACACAACTACTATTAACCAACAGCTTGCTAGATTGTTCTGTACTTTCAAATTCTTTATTATAATTAAACGTGTTATTTTTAAAATAATATTCGATTTCATGTAGACTCCGCCCCTTCGTTTCGGGCAAGGAGAAAAATAAACATGCCATACAGAAAAATATTATTCCTACATTCACAAAGAAAAGACCGTGGTAGCCTATTTGTGATATTATGTTTGGTGTCAACTTTATACTTAAAAACTGACAGGTACCAGCAAAAATTCCACCCATTATAATATAGTAAGTTTTCAAATCCACTGGAAATATCTCTGCTAATACTCCTTCTAATACTGGATAAATTCCTGCTCCCTGTAGCACAAAGTATAAAGCCAATAATGATATCTTAATCCATGACAAATAATAGTCGCTACCAGGATAAAGATAAAGGCAGAACGCAAATGTAATCAAGCACACATTAGCGACAACACCAGAAGTAAAGAATAGTGGTCTTATTTTAAATTTATTCAAAAAGTACCACGACAAAAATGAACCTATTATAACGAAACCGTCTAATACTAATGTGAAAAATAGTATGTCTGAAGTACCTGTAATATCGTGCAACATTGTGATTAATAAGGTACTGAACAAAATACGGCCACTTGCAACTCTACATATACAAACTATTAAAGCTATTGCATATATCCTCCAAAAGCACTTCGTATTCATTGCTAATAAAAATTGTTTTCCAAGGAAAAGTGTGCTGGGATTACTATTATTACGTTCGCTCTGTTTTTTTTTTTTCATAGGCTATAAGAAGTTTCAGCTCATTTTCAGATGAATCCGAGAAAACGTGTAATTTCCAAAATGCCTCTTCACATTCTACAAAACGTCCCTTAGTAGCCAACCACACGGGGCTTTCAACCCAAAATAGAGGTAAGAAAGCAGATAAAGCCGTCGGTATGATGGCAATCAATGCTACTTGCCTCCAATGAAGAATTATACATAACAAATGACCAGCTGTTATTCCCATAAGAGTACCAACGCCAGATATCAAATTAAGACAAAGAACTCTGACGCCCGGAGACTTATATTCTGCAACATTAACGTAGATTAAAAATAGGATACCACCGAAGCTAATTCCAAGAATTATTCTGGTGATGATTAAAGTGACTTTATCGTGAGCTAAATATACAAGAATCCACGCCAGGCAGACTGGTAAAGTAACAACTGTTATTGCTTTCCGACGACCCAAACATTCACTTAGTACTCCAACAACTGCATAGCCACAGATACACACGATGTTTATTATAGAAGCTGCAAAAGAAAATAAAGCTTTAAAGTTTATATTCGTAGATTAAAAAAAAGAAAAAAACACATTGAAGTGTAATTTAAAATCATCTATATCTTTGTCATTGCTTTTTACGCTGTAATTTGAATGCTGGAATTGAGAATAACATATTTTGTTTAAAGAAACTAAGGTCAA